ACCGTTCCCTCACCGTTCCCTCTGTTTCCTTGCTGTTCCCTCACTGTTTCCTCACTGTTCCCTCACCGTTCCCTCATTGTTCCCTCTCTGTTTCCTCACTGTTCCCTCATTGTTCCCTCTCTGTTTCCTCACCGTTCCCTCACTGTTCCCTCATTGTTCCCTCTCTGTTTCCTCACCGTTCCCTAACCGTTCCCTCTGTTCCCTCACTGTTCCCTCACTGTTCCCTCATTGTTCCCTCTCTGTTTCCTCACTGTTCCCTCACCGTTCCCTCATCTGATACTTTTTGGACATTAAAAAACAAAATAAAGAAACTCAATGTGACTTTTGTTTCACAGCTTGAGGTCAGCTTTTCTTTCTCTGGTTATTTATTCATTCATGTCTCTATTATTTGTTGCTGCATCATTCTTGACGAGGTCCACAGGTGTGAACATGTTCAAACTTACCTTTAAAGGCGAGTTACGCTGTAGCGTAGATGAAACACACACAGAGAGACAAAACCACGAGCGCAGAAAGAATCCCAGAAACAAATGAAATGAGCACGGTGTCTCCACGGCAGGACTCAAACAGCTGGGCTGAAACACACGACACAATCCAGCTGTTACACTAAAGGTCAGGTTTAGTTTCAACACACAGAAATAAGATCAGCGTCTGTGATCAATGAAAAAATACAAACGTTTTTTTCCCTTCCTGATGTTTTATTTTATAAGCCAAGTAAACAGAAAATAAGATTTTTTAAGTGATGTTTTTATTTATTAAAGGAACAAAAACATCCTACCCTGACCTTTAACCTGTGTGAAAAAGGAGTTTCCCCCAAACCTAACAGGTGCTTTCCCTCTGCAGCGCTCAGGCGTCTGTGATAACTGATGAAGAGTGCGTCACATCAGTGTGGAGGATTTTCTGGTCTGTTCTCCTAAACTGACACAAGTGCTGCCTGTTGTTCTGGGTTCTTTACTGACCTCCTGGATGAGCCACCAATGTGCTCTCAGAGTAACTTTGGAAGGTCGACTACTCCTGGTTCACCACTTTTCCAACTCCTGTCCGTTGGTAGATAATGACTCTCTGTGAGCCATAAAGCCTTAAACATGGGTTTGTATCCAAACATCACAGATAGATGTCACTGACTTGTCTCAGCTTCTCTTTCATGATTCGCTGCTTTGTCAGATTTTGGTCTAATTCACTTTGTCAGAAACGTTTTTTGTCTGTTTAGGAGATTTTTTTTATTCATTTCTGGTTTTCAGCTCTGGCAGCATTAATGCTCAAAATAGGAAAATTAAACTCAGCTTTCCAAAAGATTTGCTTAATCACAGTCTGTGTTTGGATAAATAATCTAAAAACTGCCTTTTGTGTTACTTTGTTATTAATATTTGTTTGATGATCTGAAACATGTAAATGTGACAAAAAACAATGAAATCAGGAAGGAAGATTTTCACAGCATTGTTTAAAACACAAACATCAGCATCACAGACTGAAACATGACGAGCGGGAATCAAACCTGGAACAAAGATCTCGTCAGCAGCTCGGTGGCTGAGCTCCTCCTGCGTGGCTACACAG